GTATAATTTAATCCGAAAAATTAACCAGCAGAAACGCTATTTAATTGGTTTATCCGATGGAAATTTTTCTCAGCGCGGTTAAATCCAAGCCAGGCAGCAGATCGATCTGAGATCGATCGAGGCTCTTGCGAATTCACGCGCGCGCGAGTCGATCCGCGAAACACCGTGACAACTCCCGGCGGGAATCTCCGGCGTGTGTGCCCATTATTTCCGCCGCGTTTTTCGGCGCTACCTCATGAATTCCTCGGTGAAATTATCGGACGACGTTAGACAGGCCGGTGGAAATGTCGGAGCGACTGGACCGCGCGCGCGTGTCCGCGTATTTGCGCGCGCGGCCAGAACCGATCAAATAAACGTCCGCGACCAACGGAGCTCCATTCCGCTGGTTTGCGCGCGGCGCCTGAATCTGCCGGAAGAATCATTACGCTAATTGCGCCCGCATGTCTGTAACTAGCGTGTCTCCCCGCCGCGCCTCTGTTCGCGGTGCGCGTAAACTGAAAACGTATCTCGCTTAACGCGCTGGAAACTCGTGCCCTGCGAATTCCACGAGCCCCGCGGTTGAAGCGTAAACGCACGACAGCGGCGCGATTTATTAATTCGTTTCGCCGACAAATTCCCCCCCTCGCCCGAGACAATCTCCCCGTCTCCACGTTCGAGACTTCGGGGATTAAGCGGGCGAATCGGCAGCCTCGCTCGAGAGGAATCGGGGGGAGACAAATTTACTTTGTCAGACTCGCCCGCGACTTTCGTTTCCCCGCGATACAGCTCTGACATTTTTATTTCCGTCCGCGACATGACGGACGAAATGTCAGCTTGCGGTCTCGCTTCAACGCCCAGGAATATTACTCGTAAATCAAACATTCAATCGGACAATTTTTAATTCACTGAGAGAAAGAGAGAGAGAGAGGAAGCGGAGTTAATCAGATCTCTTTATTTGAATTGTCCGAGTATTCGCAATTGTACGAGATAAAGAAGCGCGCGCGCGCGCGCGTGCGGGGACGTGCAAAAGTTTTTTCTTCCTCTTTCCTTTTCTATTTTTTTAAAAAAAGATCCGCATATGGGTCGCGATGCTCTAATCTTGGTTTAACCTACATTCGCGCGATCGGGACATGTGTGTAATACAGTTAACAAGCGCAAATATAAATACCCGAGTGGAATTCTAATTCTATTACGTCGGAGCGAGTTTGGAAAAAAAGAAATCCGCGGTGACATTAAGGCGACATCAAGATTTGAAAATCCTCCGCGTATCGCGCTAAGAATATAATAAGACGATCATCCGTTTGTGCATGTCGCGTGCAAGTAGCAGAAACTGTGACGCGCTTTTTACCTCTGAGCAAAATTCTTCGACCTGCGTCGACTAGATATATTGTTTACCCGTTGTTTACTTGCGAACCTCGCGCGCCTTGCAGACGTCATTATTGCAAAAGCCGCCAACAAAGCGGCGTTGACTGCGCTCCGTTTGTCTCTCGACGACGCTAACATATTATATATGCGGTGTAACATTTAACAAACGCGTATAAATACTCGACTGAAACGCCAAGTTTGTGACGCCGGGTCAAGCTTAAAAAAAATCTACGATATTAAGGTGATATTAGAGTGAAATCTACAATGTTCGATACGCTCGAAACATTTATCGACCATGCACACGGAGGGAATTTTTTCTTAAAATTTATCCTAAAAATCATGTAATCGTGGGACGACGCGGCATATCGAAAATTTTACCATACATTTTGCTAGTGGAGGAAAGTCCCCTGTTATGAGATAGGATCCTAATATGGGACAGCGGGGTTTCTGTTAAATTAATAGGCGTCATCGGTTGACTCCACCGTGAATTTATTGCCCTTCGAGTTAACAGTTGACCAGAAAATGAAACACCGGGCCTCAGGCATTTAACATCCTGTCTTGGCTCTTATTCCTTCGCCTGTGATTTCAAGAGCCTCATGAATCTATTAATTGTTTCGAAATTAAAATAATTTTGCCGTTCGCATTCGACACGAGAACACCTTCGCGCGCCACTCGATGAAAGTCTCCTGTTATAAGATAAGCTCCTAATATGAGATAGCCTGGTTTTTGTTAAATTAATAAGGCATCGTCTAAGGGTTTCATCGTGAATTTATTGCCCTTGGAGCGAGATCTGTTTGGCGGAAAATTGATCGTGTAATCGTTGCGAAAAAAAGATTTGCGACTGAATTTGGGCGTTGAAAACCTGCTGTCTCATATTAGAAACCTATCTCATAATAGAGAACTTTCCTCTAATTGTGCTTAAGCCAGCGGCACACGATACTGTTTTGGCTACTGGATTTCTTGCAAGAGCCAATAAGGATGCAGAGTCTCGGATCAGGGGGTCAATTCTGTATCTTACAATACAGCGAAAATGTTGAAAGTGAGCGGCTTTGTCTCTTTCCAAGGAGACGATTAGAAAAAGAGACAAAGCTACTCACCTTCAGCATTTTCACTATAGTGTGAGATACAGAATTAAGGATAAATCCTGATCAGGCGAAATGGTATCGCGTGCCGCTGGCTTTAGTATACATTTTACTAGTAGAATGTATGGTAAAATTAAAAAAAAACTCTCATACGGTTCTTCAAAATGCCACGCTGTCCCACGATTACACGATTTTCAAGGTAAATTTTAAGAGAAAATCCTCTTGCACGATTGCACAAGTATACAATTTATCAACCTGCACAAATGTATTTATTGGCTGTTAAATAGAATGTTTCTAGCAAAGAGCACATTGTAGATCAGGCTTGAGGGTAGATTGTCCCAACCATCGGACAACTTATTTCTACCCTTTGGCCAACATCCATTGCCTCCGTCCGACAAAAACAATTAGAAAGAGAGAAAGGACGTTAACCTAAAGGGTAAAAGGTTAGTCGACAATGAAACAATCGACCCCAAGTCAGAAGATTCGAAATTCCTTCTGCACATCGAGCTAAGAATACAACAGGACGCTCGCCCGCCTATACACGCGAGGAACAGAAACCGTAACGCGCTTTCGCTTCTAAGAAAATTCCTCGACTTACGTCGACCAATTGTTTGCTCGCTATTTATTTCTTATTTGTCTCGAACGTCGCGCGCCTCGCAAAATTTACCGCCGTGGACGTGAAAACAAATCGACGCTCAATGGCTCAGAGGGGCTCAACTCTCGAATCATCCGCGGGAGAAACGTATGGGAAAATTTTACCCTTACAGTCGACAGTTGATCAGCTGAGAGCCATAGCGAATTTTCTCAAATCTCCGCGTACGTTTCTCCCGCGAATGACACGAGCCCCAGCTGCTCCATTTTCTCTCGACGACGTTAATATCCCATCTGTGCACACATCTCGCCACGGCGGGATCGGAAACGTACGTTGGCTCAATGAAAAAGAGCGAGTGCGTGCGCGACCATTGACAAGACTACGCTCGTCTCGCCCGTCGCACTTATGTAACGTGCAACGTTGGCGTCAGCTGAATCGAACGTCTCGGCCGCGGCGCTTTTTCGAGGGGGGGCTCCTCGTCCGGTTTCGCGCGCGCTCCGGAGGGATGCTGCGAGGGCGACCGTCGCCGCGGCGACGGGACGGGAGCACGTGAGCATCTCCTCGCTCGCTCTCGGAAACGCGACGCACGAACCCGGTCACCTTGGAAACGGTCCGAATTCCAATTTAGATTAGCGCCGTTAATTTCTAAGGCCCGGTTTCACCAAACGTCGCGCTTAACTTTAATCTTGGTTTTAATTCACCTTTGTCTCTTTCTAAGATTAACAGTTAGAAAGAGACAAAGAATGAATTAAGCTACGCTTAAAGTTAAGCGGCGTTGATGAAACCGGGCCTTATTTAGGCCCAGTTTCACCAAACGTCGCTTAACTTTAATTTTAGTTTAATTCACGCCTGTCTCTTTCTAAAGTAATATTTAGAAAGACACAAAGAATGAATTAAGCTACGCTTAAAGTTAAGCGACGTTGATGAAACCGGGCCTTGTTTAGGCCCAGTTTCACCAACGTCGTTTAACTTTAATCTTAGTTTAATTTAAGTTTGTCACTTTCTAGAGTAACATTTAGAAAGAGACAAAGAACGAATTAAGCTACGCTTAAAGTTAAGCGACGTTGATGAAACCGGGCCTTATTTAGGCCCAGTTTCACCAAACGTCGCTTAACTTTAATCTTAGTTTAATTCACGCCTGTCTCTTTCTAAAGTAATATTTAGAAAGAAACAAAGAATGAATTAAGCCAAGATTAAAGTTGAGCGACGTTGGTGAAACCGGGCCTTGTTTAGGCCCAGTTTCACCAACGTCGCTCAACTTTAATCTTAGTTTAATTCACGTTTGTCTCTTTCTAGAGTAACATTTAGAAAGAGTCAAAGAACGAATTAAGCTTCAAGTTAAGCGACGTTGGCGAAACCAGGCCTAAGGCCCGGTTGCATCAACGTCACGTAATGTTAACTGTAGCTTAATTCACGTTTGTCTCTTTCTAACTGTTCCCCCTGGAAAGAGACAAAGAATAAATTAAGCTAAGCTCAAAGTAAAGCGACGTTGGTGAAACCGGGCCTAAATAAGGCCGAAATAATGTAACTGTAGCTTAATTCACTCTTCGTCTCTTTCTGTTTCCCTTGGAGAGAGACAGAGAGTGAATTAAGCTAAGCTCAAAGTTAAGTGACGCTGGTGAAACCAGGCCTAAGAGTTTTTAACGCGACGGTACCAAGCGGATCTCGCTCGACCTCCGCGAGGCGCCGATTCGACGTAACGATCACGTGATTTTCCCCGAGCTGCGACGCGCGACGAGGGCTGCTCGATCCTCGGACGGGAGCCGTTCCCGACGAGGGCGGAAATTTCGGAGATGGACTCTCGCGGGGCGAGAGAAACGGCCGCCATGAAATCCCCCCCTCTCGCGTCCTCACGCCGGCGTGTTTTTTAGAGGCTTCGCAAAATCATCTCGTCTCTCGCTCTCTCTCTCCCTCTTTCGAAATAATACTCGATGTCACAGTGCCATTAGTCTCTGACGCGCGTCTCGTATTAACATCGAACGACGATAGCGACGACGTTGGACTGTCAATAACGGCGCGTACGACTGCGATTGTAAATAAATCGATTGTCCCTCGAAATCTGGCGGCGGCCAATAACGCGGGATAAATAATCCGCCCTCGATGAAAGGAGAGAAAGAGAGACAGACAGAACGAACGTTAAAATCCTTCATTGACGCGCCTCGCGGTAGGGGTAGGGGGAGGGCAACGGCAGTAAAGGCGAGCCAAGTCATAACTGAGAAACTCGGCGGAATGCCGCGGTAGCCGTCGAGGCGGGACAGGTGTCGCCAATTTTCGCGGAGGGTCGCGGATGCAGCTGGGGTGTATACGAGCCAGGCTCCTCAGGACCAGGCTCTCCCCTCCCCTCCCCCCACCCAACAATCCCCCTCGCCCGCGCCCCTCGCGCTACCCTCTCGGTCGCTCGACGGAGACGTTTCGCGTGCTGGTGGGGAAGGAAAGAAAAAAAATTAAGCTGTACGGACTTACTGTCGGTCGAGAAGGCGTCCGCGGCTGCCAGCACGGCCAGCGCGACGAGCAGCAGCGCGCCACGGGATTCTCGCCCCATAACAACCCTCTTTCTTCTCACGGTCGTGTCCTTCGTGCCTTCGTTCCACCACTGTGTCACGGCGAACCACCACCACCACCACCACCACTACTACCACCACCGTCGTCGTCGCCGCCGCCGCCGCCGCCGCCGTCAACCACCACCGCCACCCCAGCGGCAGCGGGCACCACCACCGTTGCCAACCTCTCTCTCTCTCCCGGTGCTTCCTGCCGCGACAGTTTCTTCTCCCCGCCTCTCGCCCCCGGAGCTCCGGGGGTTTCTCGCTCGCGCTCTTCCCCTCTCGCTCGCGCTCCCGTTCCTCCTCTCGCCCTCGCGAATATCGATCAACAATAACAACAACGGCGCGTACTGCTCGCGGCCGGAGCGGCGATCACTGGCGGAGCCTCCGAGCGAGACCACGCGGTCCAGTGGCCGCCGGCATCGGGTAACCGTCGATCGGACGTCTCTCGCTCTCTCGCTCAGTCTTCCGCGGCGGCCCGCGCAACCTTCGGCCGCCTCGTCTGTCAGCCAGCCAGCCAGCCAGTCAGTCGGCCGCTCTCCTTCTCGCGCGGCAAGAAAAAATACACTCCGCGAAGTGGTGAGACCGACCGGCCCGCCCCGTGTGCGACCACCTCCGTGCGCGTCTCGCGAGGTCTATCCGTCCTTCTCCCTCGCCTTTCCTCGCCCGCCGCGCCGCGCCGACAGTGGCGGATTATCGCGCCGAGGCGTCAGCGCCCTCCGGTCTCCGGCGGGGCCCTCGGGGCGGATCTCCAACGCCGGTGGCCCGACCTGCAAAAGGTCCCCGTAACGCAAACGTTCATCCACCTCTCGCGGCGGGGATTTCAAGTCCGCCGGAATTCCGGGCGAGTGCTCGCGCGCGCGCTACTACCACCGCGCGAGAGAACGAGAGAGAACGAGCCGGGATTTCATTCGCTCGCGACAAGTGAGAACATTATAACGGGTCGTTAGCGCGTTCCCGCGTCCGCAAAGCTTGAAAACAAAACTCGCCCGATCCTCGTGGTGAATTTCTCAAATCAGACGAGGTGGTCGAGAGTCACTTCGCGCCCGGGGAGCTTGAAAACGCGACTCTCGTGCGCTCGTCGAACCACGCGTTGCAACACGTAACGTCTAATTCGGCAGTTTCACGAGCATCTAATATCGCGTTGCAACAATACTCGGCGAAAACTCTCTCTCTCTCTCCTTCCCCCTCGCACTCACTCGCTCTCTCGTTCCTTCTTCCCCCCCGCCCGATGCGTTTCTTGATTGAAAATGTTTACCAGCGGGGCAGGAAGCCTCGAAATTAGTTCAAATCCCGCGTCCTTTAATCCGCCACTGCGAGACTCAGCCGGTTTCTCTCGCTCTCCGTCGGCTTCTCTCTGCCACGCTCGATCGCCCCAGCGAGTTTAACGCCGCTCTCTCTATCTCCCTCTCTCCTTCGCGCGCTCTCCCGGGCGAGACTACGGCCCTCCTCCCCCACCCCCCCCCCCCCCCCCCCCCCCCCCCCCCCCCCCCCACCCCCCCCCCCCCCCCCCCCCACCCCCCCCCCCCCCCCCCGCCCCCCCCCCCCCCCCCCCCCCCCCCCCCACCCCCCGGCCCCCCCCCCCCCCCCCCCCCCCCCCCCCCCGCCCCCCTTTCTCGCCCCGCCCGTCGCCCCCCGGCGACGAAACGCGAAGACGTCAGGCGCTCGAGGGAGCGATGTTCACGCGTGTCGCACGCGGCGGTATCGCGCGTATCGTATGACACGAGCGGTCCAACCCGGGAGGGGCCGAGGGCGAGCCTCGCCACACACTCGCTCCTTCCGACGGGACGGGAAATGAAGACGCGAGATTTTTTACGCGTCGCCTGCGCGCGCGCACGCACGCACGCACGCACGCAACTGTACACCTGTGCGCGAATCATGCGTCATTCCCGAATGGAAATCTCTCGGTTTTCCATTCCAGTTTGCCAGCGGATGGAATCTGCATTCCAGTTGTTTGTTTCCCGCGCGGACACTAATATTTAGCCGTTTGAGAACACATCGCTCGCCCGACAAACGTGTCCCGGGGATTCCCAAGGGAATCGAGAACGATACACGGCAGCGTGAAACCGTATACAGTACTGACCCTTTGCCAATTTCCTGCGTAAAGATGTACGCTGGGGCTGCTCTCGCGAGAGGATCAAAATGATGCGGATTAAAATGACCCTGTGCCGCGATTGGTCGAATCTGGAATTTCATTGAATAGAATTTCAACGTGACGCTACGAGATTTCAGATCTGACCAATCGCAGCGCAGGGTCGTTTTGACCGTCTCGCGAAAGCAGCCCCGATTACAGAGTACTGAAATTTTTGCGGGAACTTGGCGGTTTCGGTAGTCCTTCGTTCTATTTAGAGTAACCAAGCGAATAGGATATACAGGGTGTTGAAAAAGAACCATTCAATATTTATATGGTAGATAGGACACGCCGTACTGAGTAGAGAGACCTAAATAAACATAGATCGAAAACTCGACCGTTCCTGAGATATTAACATTTTCGTATGTTAGTATCATATGATCAACTTGGGTGGCTTCTACGTCGCATGCGACGTGAAAAGATAATCCGTCTAAATTATTATCTCGATATTTACAGGTGTTCCACATTACCTACCATTTCCATACACGCTCGACATCTTTTTCTTACGGCCTGTGTCCACGATGCTAGTTCTGAGAGATCTGTAGCCAATCAACTTGCAGCTATTTCGTAAAAGCTGCAAACTGATTGGCTACACATTTCTCGAAACCAGAACTTGGACCAAGTCCTAGCATCGTGGATACAGACCTTCAAAGCTTTGTGTCCACGATTCAAGAACTGTGTCCAGGTTCTAGTTCCAAGAAATGCGCAACCAATCAACCTGTATCTTTTATGGAAAAGCTGCAAGTTGATTGGCTACGCATTTCTTGAAACTACTTGGAACTTGGACACAGTTCTTGGATCGTGGACACGAGGCTTTACAGAATCGCGGACTCTCGAAAAGTTCAGGTCTCTGTCTCGAATTATTTCACAAGCACGTTGGATACGGTCGCGTACTATAATTCTTTCAAGTCATTCATCGGCGAAGAATACACTATGCTTTTCAAATATCCCCATAAAAAAATACGTCCAATGGATAAAATCAGGGGATCGAGGGTAGTTGGGGTGGACTACTTATTTGTAACATAAAATGTGAATTTAAAGAACACGTTAAAAATGTGTAAAATATAATTCATCCCGCCCGCCGAAATTAAAGTAAAACTTACTCACGAGCGGCCGGATTGACAAGAGACTATTGTAATTTCTTGATCCGTTAAAACAATGTTCGCCAGTTGATTTTGTACTAAGAATGGCAACATCTATTCTGATTGAAGACCAAAGGACAAGATCACTCGAACCAGCGGAACGTCTGGAGTAACGTTTACAATTTTCACAAAAACTGTCAAGTGGACTAGCGATTATGTATTAAATAGTTCGACCTGAAAAAATAACTATTTTTTTTATTAAAAATATAGTACACGTCCACAATAAACATTCAATTGGTAAAAAAAACCTATATAAACTATTAAAGACTACCTTCAATTTACTTTGTACATGAAGGTATGCACGAGGGGATAACAACAGGTTTGTTTTCCGTTCCTGCACTGGTGAACTAGTGCAGTAAGCTAGAATGAGAAAAAATATACTTGTCTTAAGGAACGTCTACAATAGATGAACTAAGAGTAGGGGTAAAGAAATGCATCATTTCCATTTCTTATTCCTACTTCAGCTCTGACGCTTGCTCTCGGCGAACCAGAGCGCAGTTCGACCAGTGCTGTAAATATTTAAAAAAATTATGCCTGTACTTAATCTTTTACACTGATAAAAGGTTATATAGTTTTCTTACTTCTTACTGCTTACTTCCAACGTAGACGGTCCTTTACTCAAATTTATCGCACTAGTTCACCAGTGCAGCAACAGAAAGTAAGCCTAGTGACACGAGCTTCGTCACTACTCGCTATCCGCGTGAGACTGTGTGCTCCACATCAATACATTAGATCCGTTAGAAGCCAAAAAGCAGTTCTTCTGCGGATGAACGCTTATAGATACAGTCGGATGCTTGGTCGGCTTGAAACCTGAAAGCTTCGCGGTCACTTTCTGAGTTACGAGATCCCAAATCCACAACTTCCCGTCCGCCGAGCCGGAGAGGATCTTCGTGTCCTGACAGTCCACGCTCGATTCCAGGCACAGATCGTCGCCGGTGTGCCCCGTGAACTCGCCGAGCAGCTCGGACGAGTCCTTGTCGATCAATCTGATCACGTCGCCCGCGCAACTAACGACTAGGCACTGCCCGTCCCTGGTGAAACTGGCGCACGTGATTGCATCTACGAAGTTTGCGTAAGTCGGTTTTTTTTTGTAGAATGTTACGTTACTCTCTAACCAAAATAAAATCCGTTGTATTAACTCGTGAGTTTTCTTACCCCCCATAGTATCCGCACAAAGTTCACCCTGCCGTATGTCGTACGTGCGCACTTTGCCGTCGAAAGAGCCGGACAAGATTTCATGATCCGAAACCCTCACGCTCGAAATTGCGTCCTTGGCTTCGTTCAGGGTCGTCACCGCTTCCTGCGCCTTGGAACGTCCGTCCCAACACATCACGCTGTTATCGCGCGATCCAGAAACGATCATTGACGATTCTTCGTTAAATCTATAGTGGGAAACATTGGGGTCAGCCGAGAGAACTTATGTTTTACAAATGGCGCAGTGTGTTCACATTAGGCTTGCTTTCTGTTCCTACGCTGGTGAACTAGTGCAATAAATTAGAGTGAGACAAGCATATTTTTTCTCATTCTAACTTACTGCATTAGTTCACCAGTACAGAAACAGAAAACAAACCTATTGTCACAACTCTGGGTTTGTTTTTTATAGCTGAACTGACTGCACTCGTTCGGAGATTATCCGTTTCCCTCCACACTAGAAGAAAGATAAACTCTGAACCAGTGCGACACGTTTAGAACTTGAATGTTGTGCAGAATAATTGGGCCTATTCTTTATATCTCAACTGGTTGCACTAGTTCAGAGTTTATCTTTCTCCTAATGTGGAGGGAAAGAGATAATCTCTGAACCAGTGCAGGCAGTTCAGCTACGAGGAATAGGCCCAATTATTCTGCGCGACATTCAAGTTCCAAACGCATTGCACCTATCTCTAATTAGGGCAAAATTTAATTTGTGTCACTGGCGAATAAACACCCTCGTACCCTCGTACTTATAAATCTTAACAAATCCGTTTGCAGTGCGATTCTTAGTGCATGATTTTCGAACAAAATACAGCAATAATCTTAACTCGTCAGCTCCAACTGCAGACAATACACAGACCTGACTGTCGTGACCGGCCCTGCATGGCCTCTGAAGCGACGCACAGGCGTGCCCGTTGCCACGTCCCAGATAATCACAGACTTGTCCAATCCGCAAGACACCAACTGGCTGCTGTCGCAGGACGCGCAGGCGTCCATCACCTCGTCACCGTGTCCGCCATATGTTTTTAACGTAACAGGCTTGTACGGATTCCATAGCTTCAGCTTCCTGTCCGAGCCGCATGTTATGCAGTACGCACCGTCCACTACAACGCAAAATCATCAGTTTCCACCTACATGCGCCTGATAAATCTGGTTTCTCACTTTCTGCTAAACTGCCCAGAAAACATTTTGCGCGCAAACAACTGGCGTTGTGACGACGCACTGGGCTATTCATTTTCCTCGGGTAAGAAGGGACGGATAATCGACTAACTTCTGGTTAACATTCAGGTCAGTTTCACAATCATCAATCGACTGTTAAGGGCCAGTTTTACAAACGTCGTTTAACCGCTAACCCATGGTTAATTGATCCTCTCTCTTCTTGGATAACAAGATAAAGAAAGATAGGAAGTCGACTGAACTATGGTTAACAGTTAACCGACGTTTGTGAAACTGGACCTAACTAGTGTTCAGTCAACTCCCTATCTTTTTCCATCTTAGGTCCAGTTTCACGAACGTCGGTTAACTGTTAACTAGAGTTCAGTCGACTTCCTATCTTTCTCAATCTTGTTGTCCAAGAAGAGACAGAGGATCAATTAACTATGGGTTAGCGGTTAAACGACGTTTGTGAAACTGGCCATTATTATTTACGAAGAGACAGAGGATCAGTTAACCTTCGGCTAGCAGTAAACCAATGTTCGTGAAATTAGCCCTTAACCAGTAAACGGAAAACCGGGCCAGAAAATAACGGTGCACCAAGCACGAACAAATCTTACCACTGAATCGTACAGATCTGACGGCCCCTTGCTTGCAGTCGATTTCCTTCTCGAACTTGTACTCAATATTCATTTTTCTCTGCTTCTTAAGACGCGAGCTTGTGTGTATTCGAGTTCCGTGCTAATCTTCTTACTGGAACATTCTTACGACTTAACTGAACTCTTCATTATCGAACGTCGTTCTTACGACTTGAACGAACTTAACCTCTTATTGGAATTATCAGAACAGAGGCAGTACAGTACGTAATAGGCCACGGTTAATGATTTGACGAAGCCGAACATCCAAAATACTATTTCAGAAATGATTTCTATATCTTACTAATCGGGTGTGAAACTTAAACGACAGTTAGAAAATATTACATGCGATGATACCGAAGCGCCGAGCAGAAAAACTCTTCGCGTCGCGCAACGCATGCCCCAATCCAATGTGCTTCTGTTTGCCCCAACGACCAATACCGTTACTTTCATCGTAAATGAAACGACGGTATTGGCCGTTGGGGCAAAGTGAAGCGTGGGGCATACGACGCGAACCTAGAGATGCAAACTTTGGGTCTCCACCATAGACATAGTATATCTAGACTGCTGGTTGGCGGAGTGGGGGTAGAGCTCACGTAGAAAAGGATGCACTCTGTTTCGTGTCTGTGCGTTCTCTCTCGCACACGCGAAAAGAGGGGATAAGGGAAGCAGTTACTAACCTGTGCGAGAGAGAACGCACAGACACGAAACAGAGTGCATCCTTTTCTACGTGAGCTCTACCCCCACTCCTGAAATTTGAGAGAACCAGCAGTCTAGATATACTATGTCTATGGTCTCCACTCTCCAGCGCGGTCGAGTGCTGCACCCGGTGCTCTCGCGCACTCAGCGCAAACCGTGTCCGTCTACTGCGCAGACGCTGCGCTGGCGCTTTAAGCGGGAAGCACACACACACTTTTGCATAAGTGCATAAGCATATGCATAACGAATTTGATTGGTCCATTTCCTTATGCATTTGCTTATAGACCAATCAAATTCGTTTTCAAACTAGAAGAGATAGCTGTACAAACACAAAGAAACTCATGACATTCATATTTGGATTGCGAGGCAGGCGGAATGACAATCAGCACGTTGTATCGTTCTTGGAAGATGAGCTTGACCATTTGTAAAATTTAAGTTATTTCTGAAATAGTTGTGCAAACTTGTATACGCATAAATGTCTCAATAATATTGATATGTAATGAAAGGGAAAAACACCATTTCAAGTGAATACACACATTGTGAATAATCAATCGGGTCATACATGTATTTGGAATACAGGATAGATATGTCGGGTCACACATGTAAAAAAGAAGTGCTAAGAAATAACTGAAATAAATTACACAAGTTCAAAAAAAAATGAAAGCAATACTTTTTAATGACATTTCGAAATACATTTCACGGAACATTACAGTTTAAATAGTTCTTTTTCCTTTTCAGAGAAATCAGTTCGTATCCTAATTTATCACTCCGTACGCATTTTTTTTCCCCCATGTAGGTATGCAATGCTTTCGTAAACTGCAATGATCTCATTCGTGTGGCTTTTCTCATGACTTAGGCCAGCATTTCTTTAATTTATATTCAAAATACACGAATTTTACATATGTCGAAGCTCGGCCAGATGTATGCGGTTAAGACTCCGCACCTCGCTTCGTGAGCCTATTATTTTATTTCCTACACTTCAACAGCCAGTGGTCGCTGCACTGTGACTTTAATCATTTAATATGCTTATAGATACCTTTCAATGAATATATTGTTTTACCATTAGATCTTAAACGTTAGATTCAATTTTTACACCAAGAAACCTATATTACGACAATAATTAGTAATTACATGATAATACAATTAAACTTTGCTTACATTTGCATGTGTATCTATTATACAGAAAAGGTACAGAATATTAATTTTCCGAGTGATTGACTTCGCCTCCAAGGCGAAAGGAACAATATGCGGACGTTCAAAAGAAAAAAAAGAAAAAACAAAGAGAGAAGTCAATCATTCTGTTACATCCATGTTCCGGAAGAAATATTTTCAATATAAAAAAGGTAGAGGAATAATACAAAAATACTGTAAAACTAGCGCCAGATTACGTACAATTTATAGTATTTGCAGAAATTGATCATTCGCCAGTATAAACCATCCATACTGCTTGTGAATTCAACGATCTGTGGTTTGCCATATAGTGTAGCTCTACACATAAACCTACGAATTCATTAATTCGCAGTGATTTGCGCCCTTTGACTTTGTAGGGAAATGGTTCCGTTACCAAATTGACGTGAACGGTAAACAATATACATGCACTTGGTGAATCCTCCCATCTGCATCGCTAATTGATCTCACGTGACTGGCAAATGGCAAATTTAAAAATCGCAAATTGTGCATAGCCTGACATTAACTTAAATGGTTACAATGAGCGGCAGAGTACGTCGGAATGGTGTAAACATGGTCTAAAGTCTTAAGTCGCAAGAAATACCTTTTGTGTTTCATGTATATGTATGTATCGTGTGAGAAAGATGAAGAGGTGCACGAGGCGCACCCTGGAATATGTTATGTATATGTATATAACTTGTCGGAGATCGGGATTAAAGAATGATTTAATCTAGAAAGTGATATTTGAGGTATTTTTCATCTAGAAAGTGATATTTGAGGTATTTCATCATACCAAAAGCTCTGAAACGCTTTACGCCGATTACCTTCACTAATTCCTCATCACAAATCGCAAACTGTCTATTCATAGGGTCCTGTAAAAAGTCATTTTCTTGGCAACATGATTTTTGTTAAGTACATGCATGTAATATATGTATATATATTTTTTCCTCTAAGATATAGCGAAGGAAATAGTAAAAAGAAAATTTCAAGATATAGGAAATAAGTACATCAAGATTAAATTGATTACAAATAATACTTACATAAAGATTCCTCTTTTTGATGATACTCCATACTTTCTTCACGACTTGAAGTCGAGTCATTTTTTCTGCGCCAACAACCGCGGCGAGCTCCGGAGACAACGTGATAGCACGCATCACACGCGTGTAACCCCCTCTCTTCTTTGCTGTTCTACCCGGAGCCTTTTTGTTTTTACCCCAGTCCTCGTCGCTATCACTATCGCTTCCCTTCTTCTTTCCTTTCTTTCCGGGCTTAGCTACAAAAAATAAATTAACACATTTCACGTGAGATTTTTAAGATGGAATCATGCCAGGGAATAAAACTGTTCTGAATACAGTACAAAGAATTAAGGCTCCTGGTCCCTGAGCCGAGAACTCCGCGATGACGGTGGCGACATAGTCGCTAGCAGTAGGAATAAGAACCCTGTCCTAACGACTTACCGCATGATAAGTGAATTTATCATAGGTGCATTTGGTGAGCTCGCTGTCACGCTACCAACGCAAACGCTACCAAAGCTGTTCGTGGAGCCAATTTTAGTCGAATATCTTTTTATTTTAAAACAGCACGCAAGAATTCTCAGCGTGTCATTGCTCGCCTCTGACAGCGTGGGATAAATACTCGTGCAGTGCCCTCACGCTGTCGCCGGCTGAAGTATTAAGGTGCAATTTCACGTGTTGCTGAAATAAGCAAGTGGAGCGACAGATCTGGGGCCCGATTCTCGAAATCATTCGAAGAAGAAACGTATGCGAAAATTCTGCTCTTACAGAAAAGTTGCAAGTTGATTGGCTATTCGCAGGGCTTTAACCAATCGACTTTCAACTTTTCTGTCAGAGCAGAATGTTCGTATACGTTTCTTCTTCGAATGATTTCGAGAATCGGGCCCCTGTCGCTCTTATTTCAGCGGCTAAAATTTTGTAGTTTGAACAGTTTCAACTACAAAGTTAAGCCTATCACACAATGCGAGGCAACAGGCAACAGGAATAGGGAATAGAATTTTTGATGCGTTGGATTGGTTGAAGGAAAATTTCCGACGAATCCAACGCGTCAAAAATTCTATTCCCTATTCCTGTTGCCTCGCATTGTGTGATAGGCTTTAACGTTCAAACGTTGTACTATGTAATGTGGCAGCACTGTAATATAGTGCGACGTACTATCGCAGTACATCGCCGACGATGGCAAACATCACGTCCTGTGTTTCACAGTAATAGCATTCTTTTCATAGCAATTGCAACAACTGCATTATTTTCAAATTCGACTTTACGTTCATAAATGAATTTGTTACAATTTAGTAACCAATTGTAATATTTTTTTGAAGCCATAACTCGGATTTATTCTGCTTTCCTAGAAAACACAATAGAAATATAGAAAATAATTATTGAATAATTCTGATGAAAATTCATTCCAAACAGTTTCATAATATGCACCTTAATTGGTACTGCACGTTTGAGGTCCTGTCGCTCGAAGGTTAGAACTGTCTTTTAAACACAGATTTGCTGCTTCTTGCTATTTTTCATGTGCCATACTTAGTTGCTGCTGTAACAATTCTGCGACAAAAGTAATCACGTGACCCTTTTTGTCGCTGAAACGGCCGGTTCGAGCGACACGTGAAAATGCACCTTTAGGCGTGAAAAGTGACAGATTGACAACACAATTTATTCTTGCGTGGATTTTCGTAATTATTCCTTTTACACTAGTTCTGTTACGTGTGACCTATTCGTGAAACCTCTAAAAAGCTCCGAAAACTAAGATTAGCGAGGAATTCTAATCGTAGAAAGACATTTTCCACTCTTTTTGGCAGTGTCAAATCATGTGTTTTCCTGCATAATTAAGCTAACTTTGACGTTTACTGTAGAGTTGTTTATTAGCTGCCAAGGGAAAAGGATAGTTTACGGAGTCTTTAGGAAGTGTGCTAAAACGGACTAAAGTGTACTTTTGGTCGAATATCTTTTTATTTGGAAATGCCACGCAAGAATTCTTGGTGTGTCATTTCTCGCTTCTGACGTCAAAATTCAATATGGCCGCAGTGACAACCCAGGAGCCTTAATATCTTCCTTTTTTTAGGTGTAACTTTAGGTTTCTTTGGACTGTATTCCTCGTCACTAGCATCATCATCGCTAGCGCTTTCCTCATCATCGGAGGATCCCTTCTTACGCTTGTTAGGAGTTTTTTTAGCAGGATTTCGCTTACCTGGCTTTTTCTCCTCCTCTTCTTCAGATCCTTCTTCCTCTTCCTCTTCGCCATCCTCGGACTCTTCACGAGCGGCCTTCTTCTTTTTCTTTCCTCCACCGTGTTTCTCTTGGAGGCATTCTATCGAAATACATTTCACGGAACATTACAGTTTAAATAGTTCTTTTTCCTTTTCAGAGAAATCAGTTCGTATCCTAATTTATCACTCCGTACGCATTTTTTTCCCCC